TAGCTATTTTTGGATGATAAACATTTGTATCAGGTCAATTAAACATGGGCATAGTAACAATATTTTTATACTACATTTATCCATTTTAAATATACTAACCTCTCTCATTTGTAACAACTAAGGCAAAAATGTAATTAATTCAGAAAATCTTTTCAGGACCCCACCTTGATGTTTCGGGACCCCAACTTTGGGTCCTGACCCCAACTTCGGGAAACACTTTATAACACTTTATACAGTTGTTTATAAGAAATGAAGTGAGCATATGGGGTAAGAACACTATCAAAATAAAGTGTATGCAAAGACAGATATGTGAGCATATTAGTAGATAAATGGGCATGACAAGAATTAGTTTGTTTTTTTCTCCTTAATGTAGGGTACAAATCCAAGGAGCAGAGGAACGCAGCTGAAATGCAGCAACATTTCCATGCATCCAGCAGAGCATGGACCCCTATTCACATCGTTCCATTTTTAGGGGACCAAGCTCATAGAGCAGGTGGCCAGAGAGTGATGGCACTTTGTGGGATGGGCGTTTCTGTTGGGAGACAAGAGATTTTCCTTATTCAGTGGAAGGGGAAACACTTTGGGATTAGAATATCTTTGTACGGGCAAACACATTTTTAAAAAGGGCCTTATTGGCTCCACAGGCCACGTGTTGAATAGGTTTGCACTCCATGCTACAAACCACGCACACATACCAGTCATTTTAGACTTCAGATCTTATGCATGTAACTTGAAGTTGAATGTGTAGGTACCTCTGCCATATCAATGGATCCTATAGCCAGAGTCTTGTAGCCCAAGATTGTTCGATTCTTGTACCTTTTCCGCCTTTGAAGCATTATCTGCAGCTTGTTTCCTTCTCTTTTTAGGAAGTGAGGGTACTGAAAGAAAGAAAGAAAAAAATAACAGAAAAAAATTACAGAAAATGCAGGATAACCAAACAAAAATCTGAGTTTTGGAATAACTGATAATTTTTCTTGGTTTGTAATTTCCAATAAAACATTGTAAACATATCACATATTGAAACTAAGAAATTGTTTCTCTTCACTATTTTCATTTGGAAAAAAAGATAAATTTTGATGGTAGCAACATGTCCCAAATACAAAAGAAAAGGAGCAACAGGCTGTAAAAGTAACCCTGGATTTCCACTGCATCCGCTCCACTCTATTGCAAAGGCCAGATGTGCTTCAGAACCATGCTCGGGAAATGAGAGATTGTGCGATTAAGCCACTGATAAATGCTGAAGTCAGGCCAAGACAATTAATTCTGTGGAAGATGGACTCAAAGCAACAGTTGAAACTGCATCACTGTTTGTCTTTTTGAAACTTTCGTTTCAGAATAAAATTATCATGTTTTGTCTATATTATGTGTATGCATAGTTACTGCATGAATGATACATTTTAACAGTGAATATACTGTAATAACCATATTAATATAGCTAGGAGTCCAAGAAAAGGTAGTGTGTCTTTGATTAATTATTTTGAAAGTACGGACATTGTACTTGTTTTGCTCGAGTGGTTTGGGGAGTCATCCTGTAACCAATGGATTGCCWGTTCAAACCCCTGCTCAKTCATTGTGTCCTTGGGCAAGACACTTTACCTGAAAGGACATTGTTTTTAGCTCATTAGTACTTAATCTGATTTGACTGCTGGTGGCGGTCAGAGGGTCTGGTGGCGCTGGTGTTTGGCAGCTTCATCAGTCTTCCTCAGGGCAGCTGTAGCTACAATGTAGCTTACCACCATCAGTGTGTGAATGTGTGGCTGAGTGTAGTGTGAAGTGCTTTGGTGTTCTTGGACTTTATAAAGCACTATACAAGTTCAAGCCAAAATTTGTTCCTTTTCCTGTTGATGCAGTGTGATCTTTGTAGATCGACTATACTTGCTCCAGGGTCAAGCAAAAATATACTTGAATTGAATTTTAGTGAATAGCCGTGCACACGCCGTTGTCCTGTGGAGATGATGTAAATGCTCTGATTGACTACAAAAAGTTACATTTTTTCAGCAGAGATTGTGCTGCAGCTGAGCAKAGATGACACACTGTAAATCTGGGGTCAGTGGTATGAATACGAAATAGCTGGAGGAATGTTTTGACTAAGGTTTGGGTATAAAAACAACATTTTAGAAAGGTTGAAAATTTCAAAAGTAAAGATAGGCAGAGGTTTACAGTACCAGTCAGCAAATAACAGAATCTAAAACCAGAGTTTGTCAGTTTGACACTTAACAGTATTTACAGTTATAGGGCAGAACAGATTAACAATCATCAGTGGATTTATCACATCACTCTGTCTGCAGTGATTAGAACTGCAGACCACTCCAATCAAGTCTCATCTGGGCAGAAATTCTGCTGGTTTTGGCTCATTAATACATCCATTACTAACACTAAAGCTCACATCTTATCAAACTACATGCAGTTTAAACTGTTGAGTCCAACAGTGAAGATTTTCTGTTTAAGATCTATGTATAAAACCAAAATAAGATAAATTAATAATCCAGCAGCTTTGAGCAGACAGACAAACAAATAAACTGAAACACAAGACAGAATAGAAATTCACATTTTCTCCACTATTGTAGGCTAGTAGTTATTTTGCATTCTATACACAACACTGAAATTGGTCACAGGTGGATCTTATTATACCAATTATGACATCTGAGAATTTTTGTTGGACATTTAAAGCAAAAGGGGTGAACATATAGTACTTTATGCACATACTACTTTTCAGTTTTATATATTTTTTGAAATATCTAAAAGATGTTTTCTTCTCAGTCTAACTTTGTTAATGTGATGCGTTTTTGTAGAATTGTTTATTTTTAGTAATTTTTTTTATTTAATCTTAAGGTACATCCCATTGAGAGCACAGATCTCTATTTCAACAGAGACTTGAGTTTCCTCATCATGCAAGGTTTTGAACTTTGGGAGGAAACCCACACAGAAAGATCCCAGGCTCCAACCCAGGGTCTTCTTGTTATGGGGCAACAGTGTTGACACCTAATCCGTTGTGCTACCAAACTACTACTTGCAATCAAATTAGGAATTTAATAATAAAAAAAACAGTTAAAAGGCAACAAAGCAACAAAAAAAATGAATAGGGATAAACACTTTTTTATAGACATAAAAATGAAAGTGTCTTGTAATTAGGAAAACGTATTGAGATTGATTTTATAGGCACAATGAACTTTATTAGATTATAGGGATAAACACTGTCGCGACTCAATGTGTTTCTCTCTGTGGGCTGTTTAGTTGGTGAAAAAAGGTGGCATACAGTATGTGTCTGCTCCGAATGTGGACGCTGCTGTATACACACAGCTGTGTACTTTTCATCCATTTTTTTAAACAAATAAAATAAAGAAAATACTCATTTCAGGAGGAGAAACACTTTCTGTCCTCGATTTAAATCTTGGACTGGCATGTTTTGTAAGAAATGTCACAAMCTTGACCTGCAGGAAGGAGAAGAAAATATGTAGTCTAATATTGCCTATAGTGCCTATAGCTTAACTGCGTGCAGTTGTACATTTCTCAACATACAATTGCAAGGATAATAGGGATTTCATTATCTACAGTCCATAATATGGAGAAGGGGTTATCTGCGGAATCAAAGTGGGTGTGTCACAAGAGTGGGCGTGTCAAAAGCATAAACACTGTGGGCGACGAGGCCTACATGGCGGTATCCTTAGATCCTGCTTGATCTCTTTACAGCCTGACCCTGACCCCAACACTAAGGATAACCAGGAGAAATGTGACCCAAGTAGGGTTCTCTAGAAAAAAGTGGTGCCGTACAGTAACGCCCCTTTTGTTCTTGTCCAATGAGGTGGTGCCGTACAGTATTGCCCCTTTTTTGCTTATCCAGTCAGGTGTGTCCCTTTAACAAAGTCCGTCAAATCAGGTGTGTCGCTTTAGAACCGCCTTTCCTTGTGACACGCCCACTCGTCCGCACTCGTCCGCAGAGACCCCTACTTGATAATATGACCAAAAGATTAAGAGAATCTGTACAAATCACTACAAATAAGTTGCAAGCCCGAAAACCAACATTGAATGTCTGTGACCTTTGATCTCTCAGGCAGCACTGCATTAAAAACCAAGATCATTCTGTAACGGATRTTAGCAAGTGGGCTCAGGTACACTTCAGAAAACCAGAAAACCATATTCAGTGAACACAGTTCGTCTCTACATCTACTGTACAAGTCCAAGTTAAAACTCTACCATGTAAAGCCTAAGCTATGTACGTGGCTTGGAACCATAATGCACCACACATTTTCAATGGCAGACAGGTCTGGACTGCAGATAGGCCAGTCTAGTAACTGCACTCTTTTACTATGAAGCCACACTGTTGTAGCACATGCAGAATGTGGCTTGGCATTGTCTTGCTGAAATAAGCAGGACGTCCCTGAACAAGACGTGGCTTGGATGGAAGCATATGTTGCTCCAAAACCTGTATGTACCTTTTAGCATTAATGGTACATAATGACATATGTGTGATTGTGTGATTGAGTCTGTGTATACTTAGATTTTTGTCAGACTGGGACTTGGACAGCCCCTTCTTCTGGTTCATTTGAGGGCCCACTGCTTCCCCTGCCACGCTTGCGCCTTTGGCCACGGGGGCACTGGTGGCTCTCAATGTCTGGGGTTGGGTGCTTGGACATGCGCAGGCTCGGCCCGGTGGCTGCCCGACGRGGCTTGGGTTGTCGGACCTTGGTCGGGGGGTCCATGCCTGGTTCTGCTCTGGCACGGTAGGTGCCGGAGCTCACCACTGCTGGCCCCAGGGGTTTACTGCATGTGGTCGCAGGTGGGGCTCTCTCTGTTCTTTCCTATGGTTCCAAAGGGGACCATAGGAGAGAACAGGTATATGTGTATATATATATATAT